TGCGAGATTAACTTGCGCTTGTCACATTCAGTCCATGGATGGGTCACCGTTTTCTTAATACACCGAGATTGAGAGAATAGACAGTGCATCTGTATAGATACAGATACCATACAATGTAGACACCTCGTACACTTTCATATCTCCTGCGTATTTGGCTAGTCCGTGTAAGATCATTATGTTTTTAAATTCATGCAGCTAAAATTATTAAAAGTTTGTTATTTTTCAGGGACAGATGAAAGAAAGAGATAGAAGACACATGATTTTATTGGCCTTTAAGCAGAGCTAAACAAGTTTAACTGATTCCTAGAAGTTTCCTTACTTAAATTATTAAATTTAAATGCATGTTTAAGTTGAATGTTAAAATTAATTTTTATAATGTATTTAATTATTAATTTTTTTTGTAATTATTATAATAATAGTTATATGAAAAATAAAGCAGCCATTATGTAATTCGTGTCCCCGTTTTTTTATTTCAATAGCAAAACATTTTAAAAAGTATGAATAGGTTTTTACTTAATTAAGTATCTATCTATTTATAGTTGATTAACGTTATGTTAAAAAAATCCGGGGAAACTGTTCATGGCAGAAAAGTTTTCTATAAAGGTCACACATAATTCTAAAATACAACTCTCTGATCTGATTCTTGGAGCAAATTGTTTAAGTTTATCGCTAGACTCACCTCTTCAAAGATTATTGTAAATTTGTACATCTATACAAATAAATAAAATTGAAGTGCCTGTTTGTAACGTCAAAATTACAGCTTTATACTAAATGCATATGAAAGTATATACGGTACTAATAACAAAAATACAATTTTTAAAGTTTTTGTCTGTCTGTTTGTTCCGGCTAATCTCCGAAACTGCTCGATTGATGTTGACGGGATTTTCACTGGCAGATAGCTGATGTCACAAGGAATAACTTAAGCTACTTTTATTTTAGAAAAATAATTAGGGTTCCGCGCAAAAAAAATAAAACCCCAAATAACACGCGGGCGAAGTCACGGAGCTAGTTATAAATTAAAATACAACAAAAGGCAGGTAGGTGCAGCTTATTCCCGGGAACATGTTATTTAAATATTTTTTAATTATTTTAGAACTATCAAGGTGAATTTTTCAGTAAATGTTTGAGATTTTTCAGTTTCGTACACTAAACCATTTTTTTAATATTTTACCGCTTCCTTAACAATCATTTTCGATAGTCCTTGTAAGTAAAATACAAATCACTAGCTAACGCTCACAATGACAAATCAAAATTGGTTACACATGTTTTCGGGCTGTCAGGTCATCTATACGCCAGTATATTCTAGGTCTTTGAAATAAACTAATATTTAAGTAACAGAACGCAAAAAGTTGTCATTAACAGTATGAGCTCTTCCAGGTCGATGGTACCAATGGACGTGTCTCAAAGCTAAGTTCTCGGCCCCTAGCTGTTTCTTGATTACATTAATGACATACCTTACCAGTCTGCTTGCCAGTTTTGATATATGGGGGCTCCATTGAAGCTTCGCGTCTAAGGCATAACCATGATATAGTATTATTTGCTGATGACACTTAAGACGACAATTACTAAAATATGACGAAGTAAATAATGCTATATTTAAATTAGGAAGTTGGTTCAATGTTAATAATTTGCATTTAAATGGCACCAAAACAAAATTTATAACTCATAATTCCAAACAATTAAATACTAATGTAATTTCAAATGGGGAGAAACTGAGTCTTGTAGATACCACCATTTTTCTTGGAATCACACTAGACGCGAAGCTTCAATGGAGCCCCCATATATCAAAACTAGCAAGCAGACTTAGTTCTGCAGCATATGCTGTAAAAAAGATTAGAAGTCTAACCAGTGTTGAAACAGCTAAACTAGTTTACTTTAGCTATTTCCATAGCATAATGTCGTATGGTATTTTGCTATGGGGACACGCAGCTGACACTGAAATTATATTTGTTTTACAGAAGAGGGCCATAAGAGCAATTTATGATTTAAAGCCTAAAGAGTCGCTGCGACAAAAATTTAAGAAAATTAATATATTAACTTTGGCCTCTCAATACATTTATGAAAATGTAATGTACGTACACAAAAATAAAAATAGTTTTACAAAAATAAGTGATATTCATTCTGTAAATACTAGGAACAGACAGTAAGCTAGTAGTACCAGTTACTCGACTCCATCGCGTCAGTAATTCATTCTTGGGGCGATGTATACGCTTTTACAACAAAATTCCAGAAAGTATACAAAATTTGACCTACTCAAAGTTCATAAACTTTATTAAAGTAAGTTTGTATAAAAAAAGGTTATTATAATATTAAGGAATAGGATGATAATAACCCCTGGAAATGAGAAGATGATCGCTACCAAGTTATTTCAAATTTTTTGTGTTGTTAATTGTGTAGCAAACATGATTGTAAGCTGTTATTTAAAAAAAAGGCCCGCTGGGTTTCTTGCTGGTTCTTCCCAGGACAGAGGTTTTTTCAAACTAGTGGTAATTAAACAAAAGAGTGACTTTCAATAAGTATTATTTATAATCTATATTGAATAAAAAGTTTCTGTTTCTGTTTCAACTGAAATGAACCGTAACTCAAGGAAATAAGACTTTTAAAAATGCAGTTTTATTTGTATTAATACAAATTCCGTCATTCAATACAAAATAAAGAAAAATTAACTTTATTTCAAGCACATTAGTCTTTACAAATACAGACTTTGGATAGCGCTGGATCGGTCGCAGCAGCCCTGTCCAGTGACCTCCCAGATCAGCTGATTTGACGCCTCTTGACTTTTTTTTGTGGGGACGTATTAAATCGTTAATTTATTTTAGTGAGACAACACGTGCCGACGACCTAAAAATAGGATAGTGAACGCTTTTAGAATAGTGAAAAATGACACCGAAGTGCTTTCTAAATTAAAATATCATTTAAGAAAACGATCATTAAAATGTATTAAACAAGGTGGTGGACATTCTGAAAGTGTATTAAAAATACAACGTTGCATGAGAGTTTAGGCTATTAGTAAATTAAGTATTTGATTTTTTTTTAATTGTTTAAATCTTGATTCACATCTTTTAAACACGCCGTCTTTGAATTATGTTGACATATCGCCTCTTATTTTAGCAGGTCATTATTATTTATAATTACAAATAAAATGTTATGCAAATGCATAACATTTTGGCCGAATATTGCCTATTGACATTGTATCATAATCAATAAACAAAATTATTCAAAGTCGTCAGTCCAAAGCCTGAGAAGTGTGATGGAAAGATGCAATAAAATGTTTAGTAGACTTAAATAAACAACTCGATACTCGGAGTTCTGACAACGGTTAATCTTCATAGGTAGCTATTTCTATAACGTAAACAATCGTGTATTGCCGGCTATTTTCGGCACTAATACCTATAGTGTCCTATAGTGTCAAGCGGCGGCGGCGTTAAATCGTCTCTAACGAGCGAATACCTACTACGCTAGCAAGACCCTCATATGACCTATACCTACGTGATAGCATAATATACCAATTGAGGTGTCTGAGGATTTGCGTTAATTACGTTACATTTTGTATATGGACTGGCTATACACCGTGACATAATTAAGTGATTTAAATTTCACCATTTTGGTGTTGACAGCAGAAGTGAAAGTCCACGGAACTAATAATAGAGATAACACAGTGTGAAAAAATATATCGATAAGAATTCTATACCCTGGCCTACCCGTAACATCCATTTTATTTATGTATCATTTTAATATACATACAATAAATAAATGTATCAATACCTAGGCCTCAGACGCAAGTTTTATCTATACAAATTAATAAAATTGAAGTGTCTGTTTGTAATGTTGAAATAACAGCTTTTAACTATATGCATATGAAACAATATACCGTACTTATAACAAAAACACGTCTGTCTGTTTGATTTCATAAGGAGTAACTTAGGCTACTTTTATTTTAGAAAAAGAATTAGGGTTCCGCGCAAAAACATAGAAAACTTAACACGCGAGCGAAGTCGCGGGGAACAGCTAGTAATTAATAAAAAATAAATAGAAAGATACATTTCATCGACGACTGGGATAGATTCTATGCTAATAAAAAGTTCTGCTTACCTCGAATTAAATAATATTTTTACTCCCACACAAAATATAGTTCGAAATACAAGTTTAGACCACAGAGCGAGGGAAAGAGCTGGAGAATAAATGTAAACAATTAGTTGTATAAAAGATAGTTGAGCTGGAAAGGCTTTCCAGGAAAGCCAATGATAGGTTGGGGCAATTTAAATAATGGTTACTCAGGCGGCGGGAGCATAGCGTCTAGCGCTGAAGGCACTGGCGCTGGCCGCTGGCCGATAAAAACGAAGTCCCCAGGATGACTACGAAGGTGGAATGGTGCTGAGCATTGCCTACCTCAACCGACACGAACATCGCGTCGGCGCGTACGCTGTTCAATAATTATATTCAAAGTGACAGAAATTTTATGTTGTTGTATATTGTTGTATTAAAGACGTAGTGGATGACTATCTTAAGGTGTATTTAAAAAATTGGAATCAAGTATGTACAACTGTAGCATGTTATGTCTATTTATATATTGTATACTAGCTGTTCCCCGCGACTTAGTCCGCGTGTAATTTAGGGTTTTAATTATATTGCTAAGAACCCTAATTCTTTTTCTCAAATATAAGTGGCCTAGGTTACTCCTTAGAACATCAGCTATCTGCCAGTGAAAGTCCCGTCGAAATCCAGCCGTTACGGAGATTAGCCGGAACAAACAGACAGACAGACCGACAGACAGACAGACAAAAATTTTAAAAATTGTGTTTTTGTTATAAGTACCGTATATCCATTCATATGCATTTAGTAAAATGCTGTTATTTTAACATTACAAACAGACACTTCAAATTTATTTATTTATAACGGGTGTTTTTTTAAGCCCGATAGAACTTGAAATTGTAAAAAATAACACAAAAAATTAAATTGTAATCAAAATTTTTTTTTATTCGAAAGATCAATACGTGACATTAACATTTGAAAATGATTTCGGGCATATGGGCACCGCGGCTGTTCTTGACGAAGCGCATTCTGCACGTCCAATTTTGGGCCACTTTTTCGAGCACTGCTGGCCGTATGTCACGAATAACACGAACAATGCTGGCCTCCAAGGCGTCAATTGTTGCTGGTTTATCAGCATAAACCAGTGACTTTACGTAGCCCCACAGGAAATAATCGAGAGGTGTCAAATCGCACGACCTTGGAGGCCAATTGACAGGTCCATTTCTCGAAATCAACTTATCGCCAAATTTTGATTTCAATAAGTCGATGGTTGCGTTCGCCGTATGGCACGTAGCGCCATCCTGTTGAAACCACATCTCCTCCGGATCAATGTCATCCATATTTTCAAACAAAAAATCATTGATCATGGTGCGGTAACGATCTCCATTGACCGTAACGCGAGCTCCGGCCTCATTTTTGAAGAAATAAGGTCCGATGATGCCACCAGCGTGAAAACCGCACCAAACGGTGCATTTTTCTGGATGTAATGGAGTCTGTAGGGTCTCTTGTGGATTGGTCTCGCTCCATATGCGGCAATTTTGCTTATTAACAAACCCGTTAAGCCAAAAATGCGCCTCATCGCTGAACACAATTTTGCGATAAAACAACGGGTCAGTTGCCAACTGCTCTAGAGCCCAATCGGCGAAAGAACGACGCATATAATGGTCTCATGGCTTCAATTCCTGCACCAGCTGGATCTTATACGGGTGTAGGCCGAGATCTTTGCGCAAAATTTTCCACGTAGTGGACGGACAGAGCCCCAATTCCTGCGACCGACGACGAATCGATAAATTTGGATCTTCTTCCACACTTTCGTTTACAGCGGCGATATTCTCTTCAGTACGAACATTCCTTCGACGTGTTGGTGTTATTGCATCCTCTAGAGAGTATGTGGTACGAAATCTATCCACAGTTCGACGAATGGCTTGTTCAGATGGACGATTATGTACGCCATAAAAATGACGAAGTCGTCTATAAGTTGCGCGAATCGACGACTGATTTTCAAAGTAAATTTGGACAATTTCGTAGCGTTGTTCAAGCGTGAGTCTATTCATGATGATTTGTCAGAGTATACTGAAACGATAAAAAAAATATTTCATCAAAATTTAATTTTTTGTGTTACTTTTTACAATTTAAAGTTCTATCTAGCTTAAAAAAACATATATATATATATATATATATATATATATATATATATATATATATATATATATATATATATATATATAGAGATCTCTTCACGGTAAATCTTGATCAGACGCGACTTCACGCGAGCACTTTGTTGATCCGAAAATGTATGTTGATCCGACGCCTTTTTTTGATCCAATATGCATCTCTGGTAACTAATGTTGCTCCGACAGGATCAACATCTACACTCACGGGACTACTTACTAGCATTCCTCGAAGTTGATCTGATATACAAATCCACCTTGCGATAGTTACGCAAAATGTTGATCCAATTTAAATGAGCCAATCAGAGCACATCAAACGATCGGATTGGCTGAAAAAATCTGCGACGTTGCCGTTTCGTTTCTTTGGCGGTGGCAGCGACGATATTGTCTAAGGTGGACTTGAAAAACAAAAACACTGCTTCACTATATCAAAATAATAATCACAAACAAAACTAAAATATCTATCAAAGAAACATAGAGTAATCAAATAACATTGCAACCTGACTTACTTATTAGTCGCTAGTCACTAGAATTAAGGATGCATTTGCAAAATTGATAGTTATAGAATCGAACTATTATATAAATTATTATAATAATTTTATATAATAATTTTACAAGTCCAAGAACATCTAGTTCGACATTTCCTTGGACCTGCAGCATCAACCACAGAAAGTAATCTTCCTCAAAGATCTTCAATCTCCTGTAGCTTTCCAAGATCTTCAATTGCTTCTTCAAGCAATTTTGGACATTCTCTGGAAGAAATACCACGAAAGGCCGACAATAAACTCGTACGAAATAGATGCACTGCTATGTCAAATTGAAAAATGAAGGATTATTGGCTAGAAACGCTAAGCAAGTACACACTGAGTGCAAAAGGTGTGAAAAGGCATTCAGTTTAGAATGTTATAATGAGAAACATGCTTGATTTTATAATATTTTCTTTGAATAAAATCCTCACCTTCAGTATTTGAGTTTTATTTATAGCAAGTTTATTGTAGTTATTAAATGACTACTTTTAAAAAAAATTGCGAAGTTTTCTTTTATTATTATAAACAATAGGTTTTTTACTATACGTCCACGTATGATTTAAAACAATATCACGTCACGTTCATACCAACAAATGTGCCTTAAATTGTATTGAGAAATGAGTCACCTGTGACTCATGAACTTATTCTAATACGTTCCTGTGAGTCATATATGACTCATTGGAGAGGGAAGTTGAGTTTTCCCCGGGTGTTCATGCAGCGATCACTCAAGAGTTCACGACGCCGACACATGAACTTGAACAGTCATCGCAGTTTATGTCCGCACTAGCTGTTGCCAGCGGCTTCGAACGCATGTAACTCCAAAATTATGCAACAGAAACGAAATACCTGAATAAACGGTATCATATGTGTTATATAAACCTATCTCTGAGCAAAATATCATCCAGATCCCTTCAACCATTCTGGCATGATTGAGTAACGTATATCCATTCATCCATCCATCCAAACATCCAAACTTTCGCATTTATAATGTTTAGATAATAATTATAATTAATTCAGCCTATCTATAAATTGTTTTCTAAAATACTTACTAACCTGTGTTCTTACTTTTTTTATGTACAAAATCTAACGTAATTAACGCGCATCCTCAGACACCCCAATTAGTATATTATGTTATAATCATAATACATTATTTTTAATTATTATTATATTCTTACTAAAACATGTTTATGCATTGATTATTTATTAAATTAGTTATACTAATTCCGGAAGAATGTTGTGGTCACCGTACAAAACCACGAACGCTAGGTGTAGGTACTTGCTAGTTTTTTTTTGAATTTGCATAACATTTTAATTGTATTTGTAAATAATAATGAACTGCTAAAACTAACATAATTCAAAGACGGCGTGTTTAAAAGATGTGAATCAAGATTAGAATAATTTTAAGAATCAAATATTTAACTTACTGATAGCCTAAACTCTCATGCAATGTTGTATTGAAACCACAACGGCTCCGTGGCGCAGTGGCTTAGCAATTGAGTTGCAGCGCTAAGGACCGCGGGCTCGAATCCCGCACGGAACAATATTTGTATGGCCTACAAATAATTGTTCCGGGTCTGGATGTTTGACCTTGTGCAATTTATGTTTGTACACTGCCCCCACAATACAAGAGAAAATCCTAGTGTGGAGGTTACGTTTTAAAAAAGAAAGAAAATAATTTAGAAAGCAATTCAGTGTCATTTTTCATTATTCTAAAATCGTCACAAAAAGGTCCTCGGCACTTGTTGGCTCACTAAAGTAAACTAATGATTTAATACATTCCCATAAAAAAAGTCAAGAGGCGTCAAATCAGCTGATCTGGGAGGTCAGTGGCCTGACCGCCGCGACCTTTATAAGGCACTCCAAACTCTGTATTTGTAAAGACTTTAACATACTTGAAATAAGGTTCAATTTTCTTTATTTTGTATGGAATGACGGAATTTGTATTAATACAAGTAAAATTCACTTTTAAAAGTCTTATTGCCTTGAGTTACGGTCCATTTCAGTTTGTTTTGAATGTACAGGTTTAGGCGTGACTGTAAATTACGTAGTTTCAATTATTTTTGGGATAAAAAAATTACCTATATTAAAAATGATAGAAACCGATTCAGTAAACGATTCTGAACAAACTACTTTCACAAAGTGCGTTAATTATGTTACGTGTTGTCAGAATGTGTCAAAGAAGGTACGTATGGCAATTCGTAGTGCTGTGTTAGTCCCTACTTTAATGTATGGTAGTGAAAGTTGGGTCTGGCAGAAGAAGCATGAGAATAGAATAAATGCTGTAGAAATGCGGTCATTAAGGAGTATGCTAGGGCTGAATCTGAATGACAGGGTGAGAAATAGTATGATAAGAGAAAAGTGTGGTTTGCAAGATGATGTTGTGACCAAGATTAAAGAAGGAATGCTTCGGTGGTTTGGTCATGTAGAAAGAATGAACGAGGAAAGAGTGACAAAGTAAATTTATGTTTCAGAAGTGAACGGCAGAGTCGGGAAGGGACGCCCTAGACGAAGATTTATCGACCAAATCGGCGATACATTGAAAATGGGCCAGATTAGGAGTACCCTTAACCGACGAGCGTGTATGCGTAGCTATATGGATGTAAAGGAGGCGAGAGAGGTGGGTCAGGATCGCGCCAAATGGAAGTCCGTAGTCTCTGCCTACCCCTCTGGGTGACAGGCGTGAGTGTTTGTGTGTGTTTGTGTTGTATACTCAATATCACTAAACGTAAACACAGGTTTTTATCAAGACAAGTGACCCATCAAGATTGTTTTCTTAGTACCGACGTACCTACCTAAAGTTTACATTTTAGTGTCCACGACGCAGCAATGATTTGTGACAGTTTGTTGTATTGTAGGTTGTAGGTAAAGTAACAGTAGGTATCTATGATAATCCTACATAATATACCTAGTTTGTCCACCGCAAAAGTCGTCGAATAAATAATTAAACTGTTTTGTAAATCTTTATTGATTATTTATTTATTTATAAGATGTTCATTGAGAGCCGTGGTAGTTCCGATGTTTAGCGCTCGCTGTAAGTATCACAGTACGCGATGAACCCGGTTTTGATCCCCGCCGGCACCAATGAAATTAGTGCAATTTATTTATCACATTTTAATTATTTTATAAATACGTTTAAAAATGAAAATATAAGTTTTGTAATTAAATTATTATTACTGAATTAATTACACAATTACTGACATTGTTTCCTTTTACGTCTGCGGTTTGTAATTACCGCCTCTATAGCTCAAAATAAATTATTCCTAATACACAGAAAAATAGTTAGGTACTTATGATACTATGTGGAAAGTTGGTTTTTACAAACTCGTAGACGAATCTAATCCCAATTTACGCATGTGTGTCATACAACGTTTTTCAACACATTTGCGAGAAAACAGTACCTACTATAGGTAACGAAACAAACTTTTTGTTCTTAGATATCAGTTGGAAAGTCTGTTTTTCTGGGCTGTTTTGTTTTGTTAGACTGACATCTCGCAGGTCAACCTAGGAGGTTGTCGGTTGCTTAAGTATTTTTTATTTTTATTTAAAATTTCGTCTGTAATATAATATAATTATAAAAGTAAAAGAAAGTAAAGTCTATATACGTCCCACTGCTGGGTACAGGCCTCCTCTAATTTCTGAGAG